GGGGTGTTTGTTCAGTTGTGGCCGCTGCGTGCGATAAGCAACCTTATCTGTCCGTGGCTGTATGAAAGTTCGTAGAACGGTTACCTGCAGATTGGACAAGATGCTTGTCCCTGGATGCTACCATCTTTGTCTACGCAAACATCTCTTATGATCCGCAGATAAACGCCTCATGGATGATTACAAGCGAGCAGCCTAATTCACTTGAATGGGCACAATGGCCGCATCTGTACAGACACAGCCTGATAACAACTGACAGGCCACCGAGGTATCCACAGGGATCTTGTAAGGTCTTGGTGTTAAAGCCTTCCAAGCAGAAGTTGATGGGCCAGTGCATCCTTGTACAGATGACATGTCTGAGTTTAATGCCACCCCGAGTCTATCTTTAAGGTTTTGCAGTTGGAACTGGGATCTATTAGCCCAAACAATATTTATCAAGTTACGATCACAAGAAGTATCCAATGTGGTCATTGGCCATTGCACCCATAAAGACAACAGGCCATGCATTCCAGTATTGGCTGCTGATCCCAATAAATTAATTGTGAAGTTATTTGTTGCACTCTGGACTAGTGATGTACCATTATGGCACAAGCCTTCTCACATACAGTGGATGCTTTGATGAGACATCTTGTGTGCACCTTGTAATGTCTGTCAAGCCTACATGTTGATTCACTACACAGACCCCCTTTAAAGCAGCACTGCAAGGGTTAAAAAGAGAACTATGGGGTAAGTGTTTTCCCCCATATTTCCCTTTAGCGTCACAGGAGGACATATACTAGCGTCCACCCGTGACCCAAAGCTCAGCATATCGCCAGCTACAGCTCACGGTATACTGAGCTTGAAGCAGCCGTGACGGATCCTGACATTACTGTTGAGATCCACCCAGCTGCGTGAGTGACAGCTGGCTCTGCCTATCTAGAGGCAGAGCCAGCTGTATCCGCCCCTCCCCCGTCCGTTCCTCCAGTCAGCGCTGGAGGATCAGAGCAGGAAGGGAGAATCCCTGCAGGGAGCTGTGACTGGGATTCTGTAGTGCTGACTTCTATTATAATGTATTGCTGGGACTTGTAGTCCCGCCTAGCTGGTGGTATTCTACATTGCTGTATGATGATTATACAGCAATGCAGAATAGCACCAGCTATGTAGGACTACAAGTCCCAGCAATGCAGAATATTTTTAAGTAGGGATACCCCACTGCCAATACTGGGCATTTTCACGAGTACTTATACTCGTGAAAATGCCCCGATACTAAATGCAGATACCGGTGTTCTGTCGAGAACGCAGATGTAGTCGAATTAGCCGACCTCAGCATCTGAGGGAACAGGGATTTATTTACAAAGTATTTCGTTTAAATTAATTGTGACTGTTAATAAATATTCCATCCATCATTTACTGCCACCCATCATTTACTGCCATGGACGGCATATTATTAATGGTCACAATTAACCATTATAAACGAATACTTTGTAAATAATTGCCGGTTTCCTCGTTAATCCCGTCTGTACGTAAGCGCAGATCCTGGGTCAGCGTTCTCGACAGAACACCGCACTAAAATTTTAAACAAGCGGCTGCCCAAGGTCCCGCGCTTGTGGTTGGGGACCTCGGCCGCCTTCCTGTAAACAATGCGGTGCCATGGCAATTGGGGGAGGGGGGCCTTCATGGTTTCTTGCACAGGGGCCCTGAAGGTTCTAGTTGCGCCTCTGCTTTGAACCTAGACAAAAACAAGCACTTAACCCTAAATTTCCTGCTTTAAATTTACAGCATACTGTCAATGGATACAATAAATGAACAGTTACTGGAAAATAATAAAATATTATTAATACTATAACCAAATTTTGGATTGATATGTAGTAGCAATACAAGAAAAACAGAACACGTGTACCAGATAAACGAAACAAAACAAAACAAAAAATTACCTGCTAAAACCTGAGGTAGAGATAAAGCCTCTGTTTCCAGTCCAAGATAAATTGAGCCACTGCACTAGTGTGCATCGTGGCAATAAGTACTCCAGAGAAGCATCATTCAAACTGGCCCAATAAGGCTGTAAACTTAGGTGAGTTATATGATTTTTAACTGACTAGGGAATGGTTTAAAAGCTTCTTTTTTTTTAATATATAATTTTTAGCTTTACATACCATTTAAAGTTCATCTATAAGCAAAATGTTATATATTTTAGCTACTCAGTCCTTAGCTGAGGTGGCTGTACTCTTTTCTTTTTTCACCTGGTAGTCCTGTGAATAACACCTATCCTGTCTCTTCTTGTCTACGCTCACTCCTCCACTGTATCTATGGAACAAACCATTGTTATCCCCCAGGCTGGACTTCAAACATGTCTGCCTTTAATCATCTCCACTACCTGGGGGCTGGTGGGACTAATAGTTTATAAAAGAAAGACAGGGCTGTTTGGGCTTTCTCTTTAGCTCACAGGAAGAGACAAGGACACTTAATCTCTGGCAAGATAAACAGGTATTTTCTGTATTTATTGAAAATGGTTCTAGCCTGAAAAAAAGAAAATGAATGCAACAAAGACATCTAATGCCTGGAAGCTCCAACATATTAGTTTTGTTCATGGGTATAGTTACAGTTTTAAAAGGAGATTTTGGCTACATCTGATGTGGCTCCCAACAGCCTGGCAGTTACTTGGTACCTGTGATTGAGCACAATCCGATAGATCTGAAGCTAAGCAGATGTTACCTAAAATTCCATTAAATAATTGAACAATATCATCATTAACTATAGTTATTTTTGTATAAAGATTATTCCCACATTTTATATCAAAAAGTGGCTTACATGTCGACAAAGTTTGGAACCTTTAACACATGATATGTAAAGCACTGACATGCTGTCGCAAGGCTGCCTAAACTGAATGCTTATAACACAGTCCCAGAAGATAAAACAGGTCAGGCTTGGGCCCAGTCCTCGTAGCAAAGCTTAAAATGAATTTAGGAACACAGAGAATCATGTCGTAATGGCCTAGTTCATCGTTTAGCATCAGTAAGTAGCTGATCTTCAGATTAAGGCCTCATACACACAGCGTTCAAAACTGTAGCTGGGGATTCCTGCAGCAAGAACCCGTGGTTTCATGCGGCAGGAATCCTAGGGGTGTTTGTTCAGTTGTGGCCGCTGCGTGCGATAAGCAACCTTATCTGTCCGTGGCTGTATGAAAGTTCGTAGAACGGTTACCTGCAGATTGGACAAGATGCTTGTCCCTGGATGCTACCATCTTTGTCTACGCAAACATCTCTTATGATCCGCAGATAAACGCCTCATGGATGATTACAAGCGAGCAGCCTAATTCACTTGAATGGGCACAATGGCCGCATCTGTACAGACACAGCCTGATAACAACTGACAGGCCACCGAGGTATCCACAGGGATCTTGTAAGGTCTTGGTGTTAAAGCCTTCCAAGCAGAAGTTGATGGGCCAGTGCATCCTTGTACAGATGACATGTCTGAGTTTAATGCCACCCCGAGTCTATCTTTAAGGTTTTGCAGTTGGAACTGGGATCTATTAGCCCAAACAATATTTATCAAGTTACGATCACAAGAAGTATCCAATGTGGTCATTGGCCATTGCACCCATAAAGACAACAGGCCATGCATTCCAGTATTGGCTGCTGATCCCAATAAATTAATTGTGAAGTTATTTGTTGCACTCTGGACTAGTGATGTACCATTATGGCACAAGCCTTCTCACATACAGTGGATGCTTTGATGAGACATCTTGTGTGCACCTTGTAATGTCTGTCAAGCCTACATGTTGATTCACTACACAGACCCCCTTTAAAGCAGCACTGCAAGGGTTAAAAAGAGAACTATGGGGTAAGTGTTTTCCCCCATATTTCCCTTTAGCGTCACAGGAGGACATATACTAGCGTCCACCCGTGACCCAAAGCTCAGCATATCGCCAGCTACAGCTCACGGTATACTGAGCTTGAAGCAGCCGTGACGGATCCTGACATTACTGTTGAGATCCACCCAGCTGCGTGAGTGACAGCTGGCTCTGCCTATCTAGAGGCAGAGCCAGCTGTATCCGCCCCTCCCCCGTCCGTTCCTCCAGTCAGCGCTGGAGGATCAGAGCAGGAAGGGAGAATCCCTGCAGGGAGCTGTGACTGGGATTCTGTAGTGCTGACTTCTATTATAATGTATTGCTGGGACTTGTAGTCCCGCATAGCTGGTGTTATTCTACATTGCTGTATGATGATTATACAGCAATGCAGAATAGCACCAGCTATGTAGGACTACAAGTCCCAGCAATGCAGAATATTTTTAAGTAGGGATACCCCACTGCCAATACTGGGCATTTTCACGAGTACTTATACTCGTGAAAATGCCCCGATACTAAATGCAGATACCGGTGTTCTGTCGAGAACGCAGATGTAGTCGAATTAGCCGACCTCAGCATCTGAGGGAACAGGGATTTATTTACAAAGTATTTCGTTTAAATTAATTGTGACTGTTAATAAATATTCCATCCATCATTTACTGCCACCCATCATTTACTGCCATGGACGGCATATTATTAATGGTCACAATTAACCATTATAAACGAATACTTTGTAAATAATTGCCGGTTTCCTCGTTAATCCCGTCTGTACGTAAGCGCAGATCCTGGGTCAGCGTTCTCGACAGAACACCGCACTAAAATTTTAAACAAGCGGCTGCCCAAGGTCCCGCGCTTGCTGGGGACCTCGGCAGCCTTCCTGTAAACAATGCGGTGCCATGGCAATTGGGGGAGGGGGGCCTTCATGGTTTCTTGCACAGGGGCCCTGAAGGTTCTAGTTGCGCCTCTGCTTTGAACCTAGACAAAAACAAGCACTTAACCCTAAATTTCCTGCTTTAAATTTACAGCATACTGTCAATGGATACAATAAATGAACAGTTACTGGAAAATAATAAAATATTATTAATACTATAACCAAATTTTGGATTGATATGTAGTAGCAATACAAGAAAAACAGAACACGTGTACCAGATAAACGAAACAAAACAAAACAAAAAATTACCTGCTAAAACCTGAGGTAGAGATAAAGCCTCTGTTTCCAGTCCAAGATAAATTGAGCCACTGCACTAGTGTGCATCGTGGCAATAAGTACTCCAGAGAAGCATCATTCAAACTGGCCCAATAAGGCTGTAAACTTAGGTGAGTGTATTGAAGAGGGTCACAGCAGTGCTGATAAAGAAGTTTGCATGTCTGCGCCAGGCGACACAGGTCTGGAAGTGCTAAGTGGCTAATGATCAGTTGTATTAGCTGCAAGAGAAATATATAAAACACATAAATAAGAAAATAAAAATTAGCTGTAATGCAAATCATATATACACACACAATGGTACACTACAGCAAGAAATTCTGTATCACTGTCAATGTAAAAACCAAGGCCCTGGGTTCATACTTGCGTGATGAGACATTGCACGTGCATTGCGGTAGGCAGACCGTTCATTTGAGGGTAGCACAAAAGAAGCTGAACTGAAAGTAAAACTAGTACTCAAGAATTATAAGATACAATCATAGATGTATGTACTGCTCAGATAGTCACCAATGCTCAGATTGTCCAACTGATATACACTGGCCTGTGTCCGCTCATGCAATAGAATGGAATTTCAAAGTCTCAAAATTACTTCTGTCTACTAATGAGATAATACTGTGTTTATCAGCAGTATTGAGTAAAAAACATACAGCACAGCATACAGGTCAGAGCAGCATGGGAGTATATTAGTTTATGGGTTAGGTAATTGTTAGAATTTAGTGGAGCAAGTGTCATCACTGTTTTTGTTCAGAGGGTTCCTGCTACACCTGTCCAAGCCTCTCCTCCCTCTATTTACATCCTAGTAACTTCAGGAAAAGAAGCGGTGTGCCTCCCAGGCTCTGAAGAGGGAAGGGAGCCCGGGAGATGTGCAGTGCTGCCACTTACTACAGTGACTTCTGTGCTGAAACTCAAGTTGATTTGCAGTAGAGTCAGTGTAAGCAGTGGTGGTGAGCCCATTGGATCTAAGAAATAGAGCCAGAGCCCTGTGGGGAACATGCTTATCAGTGCAGTGGCTGATTCTGAAGAAGGTGAAGAGGAGCTACAGGGGGATGGACTTGAGAAGAAAAATGTTCTCAACCCTCCGATAATAGTAAATCCCTCCATGGCCCTTCAGAGATCACAGCACATGCCTCTCCAGACAGCTCAACCCTGCTCACACCACTTGCCACCTCATCAGCCGCTTACAGCATACCTCTGCCCAGCCACCTCACATTCCCCTCATACTGCACCCCTCCCGACAACCTGCATTCACTCCTCGCTCACAGCACATATATTCTGGCAACATACATTTCTCCTGTCCACAGTGCAATCCTCCTGACAACCTGCATTTACCCCCCTTGCTCACACTGCATCCCTCCTGACAAACTGCAGTCACACCCCTCTCTTACAGTGCATCCCACCTGGCAACCTGCATTCACCCCCTCGCTCACAGTGCATCCCTCCTGACAACCTGCATTCATCCCCTCGCTCACAGTGCATCTCTCCTGGCAACTTGCATTCACCCCGTCGGTCACAGTGCATCCCTCCTGCCAACCTACATTTACCCCCTCGCTTACAGTGCATCCCACCTGGCAACCTGCATTCACCCCCTCGCTCACAGTGCATCCCTCCTGACAACCTGCATTCATCCCCTCGCTCACAGTGCATCTCTCCTGGCAACTTGCATTCACCCCCTCGCTCACAGTGCATCCCCTTAGCAACCTGCATTCACCCCCTCGCTCACAATGACTCTGTCCTGGCAACCTGCATTTATAAATATTGTTCTTTTCTTTCTTAAATTAACAAAAACAAATCTACGAACCACGTTATTCAGGAATGGGCATGCTTATAGCTTGTTTCGACGTCCTCCTGGACACGTTTGGGGTGCCATTAGAAATTGTCACCGCAAGCAGGTTGCACGTTTTGCCGTGTTTCTGTGAACGTGAGCTGTACGCACACAAAAATGCGCGCTTCGATGCGTGTTCACGGAGTGTGAATGGGGCCTAAAAATTGCTTTAAAGAAAACCATGCAGTGGTAATTTTAAATATGCACAAAAATGATAACACACTGTACACTATCCTATAGGGCTGAACTCAGGCAAGGTATATAAAAAGGCACAAATACAGCTATTAAATGTATTTTTTTTTTTAAATGCAAGCAATGTAACTACCTGAATTTAACTCTGTATTGGCCTCTTGCAGTCTATTGTACAGTCTATAGAGCAGGAATTGAGAGAGGTATGGGGAAGCAGCCATATTTCATGCAGCCTATACAGTGGTCTTATTGACATATGCAAAACTGTAGTATTGACTGGATAGCATTATCAGTTTACTGATTGGTTTTACTTGTTGCTAGATTGAGAGCAAATATTGAGTGAAATATTGAGAGAAAAAGTAAAACTCCAATAAAATGACCTAAATTTATTTTTAGCCTACCTTCCCTTTTTGTAAATAAAAAAAAAATATTCATTTTTTAAAATAATAATGTTAATAATAAGATTATAAATGGTCCATTTGTACAGAGCCTGAACCTACAGGCTAATTATCTGTTACATTAGGTTATTTTTGTCTTTAACTGCCTTATGGGTACAGTGCAAATGAATCTCCAGACTGATCAATAGCCACATATTGAACTAGCAAGAAGGAAATACAATTGCACTATGACCACAACTCCCTGTGTATGCTGCCATTATTCTTATCACTGTTCCCTTTACTTGCACATGATCCAGAAATTTAGCTTAAGAACTGATCATCTGGACTCTACAGATGTGGTCAGTGACAACGAAGTGCATACAGCTGAGCGATACACAAATAAGATACATTTTTGTTAATGTTCACGGTGAAATTCCTCTTCATCTTTAGCTTTTTTGCAGAGGCCTGAAGCTTTTGTGCCAAAATTGACTGATATTTGGAACGGTTCATAGGTCCCTCCTCCTTAACTAAAGACCCAGTTCCAGTTGAAAAAAACAGCCCCAAAAGCACCAATGCTGCCACCACCATGCTTCACTGTGGGTATGGTGTTCTTTTGGTGATGCACGTTGTTGTTTTTGCACCAAACATACTTTTGGAAGTATGGCCAAAAAGTTCAATCAAGATCTCATTAGATCATAACACATTTTCCAACATGCTTTTGTCAGACTTGATGTAGTTTTTTGCAAAATGTAGCCGGGATTGGATGTTTTTCTTAGTAGGAAAAGGCTTCCGTCTTGCCACCCTACCCCACAGCCCAGACCTGCAGTATGAAAAATATAAAAAAAGATTGTTGTCACATAGTAGTACACAACCAAACATTTCTGCAGCTCCTTTAACCGCTTGCGTCCGCCCATTTTGAAAAATTGGACAGACGGCAAACTCACATGAGCGGGGTGTCGTAATTAGACGGCTTTTTTCTTTCTGCGCGTGAGCACGGGCAGAAAAAAGCCTATCCGTTCTGCAGAGCCGTTACCGGCTGTTTGACATACCAACGATCGGCGGCTCTATAGCCTACCATTCGCTTGTATGTTGTAGGTGCATGCCCCCACCGCCACCCCCCGAGTGCTGCTGCCGCCGCCGCCCTCCCCCCTCCTGCACCCTCATCTTCAATCCCGGGATCCGTTACCCCATCTGCGGCCCGGGACCGGTTCGGTGTGTCAGGAGGAAGATGGTGTGTCAGAAGGAAGATGGGAGGGAGTTCAGCATCTTCCTCCTTGCTGATCTCGCTCCGTACTGTGAATGCGGAAGTTAGGTGTAATACATCACTTCCGCATTTACCTGTCAGTCCTCTGGCTGCTATAGCCAGAGAGAAGAAGCTGATGAAGCAGATCTGTGCTTCATCAGCTTCTTTGGGGGTCCCCAGGTGACATTAGGGGTCTTAGAGAACCCTAATTTCTCCATAAAGAGGACTTGTCAGTGTGCCTTTGCTATTATATAGGGGGATTGTTATCCCCCTATGTGATAGCAATGACAATAAGTGTAATAAAAATCAAAGTAAAAAAAAAATAAGTCACATATAAAAATGTAAAAAAAAATAAAAATGTTTAAGTCCCCCACCTTCCCGTTTACGCACATATAAACGTAAATATGCGTCATATGCGCCAGTGCGCGAAAACAACAATTGCGCTACAGATGTTACATATCTCCGCGGACGTCACAGTGAGAGCAATCATTTTAAGGCCAGCAAATCTTGGATAACACTAAACTGATGAGCGGTAAAAACTTTGAAAGCATCTTCTATGGCCAATTTTGAGTATTGTAGCTTTTTCAGGTTTAGCGCGTGCGCGTAAATTTAAGGATTTACATGTTTGGTGTCTTTTTACCCGACGTGACCCCACCTTTTATATTTTACCCAAAAAATTGGTAATAAATGTTTTATAATTTAATATAGGGGAAACAGTTTTAGTTTTTTTCAATTTTCGGTAATTGTTCCTTAATATAGTAAAAAATGAAAACCCCCAGTGGTTATTAAAAACCACCAAAAGAAAGCTCTATGTGTCCCCAGAAAATGGTATAAAATTCATTTCAGTACAGCGTTGTATGACGGAATAAATGTCAGTCAAAGTACTGCAGCGCTGAATACTGAAAAATGGCCTGGACAGGAAGGGGGTGTAAACACCCAGGTTAGCAAGTGGTTGAGTAGGCCTCTGGATGTTGCAAGACCAGCATAGAATGTGACCTTTGAGAACTGGGTTCTGCATTGTGGCTATTTCCAAACCTTTGTTTACTGTGTTAGTTTGCGTGAGAGAGCTTCAAGTGGACTTCAAGTGGTTAAAGCTGAACTCTGGGCAATAGCCACAAAGGTTATAAATCCACTCCAAATGTCTTTGCAAACCCAATTACCACCATATCTGTACTGCAGATAACCTGTGCAGAGAGCAGAACTGTGGCAGAAACCCAGAAGGCTCCACCCACTACAGACTGCCTGCAGAAAACTACAGGAGGGGGTAGATACAAGACCAGTCACCCTGCACAAGGAGAGAGAACAGAAGTGACTGGTCTTTATTTCAGGAAGCTCCTGCTTATCCTGGAGTTGAGTTGAGCTTTAGGAAGCTTACCTTGGGGTGAATACTTGAAGAATTTTCACCTTTTTACTAGATAATAATCTTCACATTTTGTAAATAATCTGGAAATCCAACATTGTTATCAATTTCCACGTTCTATGGACTGCTTTGTACAAATCAGTGATACAACATAAAAAAAAAAAAAAATTCAATTTTGATTCCAGGTTGTAATACTATAAATGGAGTTAAAGTTCAAGAAGTTGAACAATTTTGGAAAGCAGTCAGCAGTCCCTCCTCTACATATACAATGTTAGTAAACTTGGTATATTAGTGCTAGCAACTAGTTTCGCTCCACCGGCCATTAAGTCACTACTGTGTTTCGTGGCGAGAGGAATCACAAGAGCTGGCGAGAGGAATCACAAAACGCAGCAGTGGACCAGGGATCTAAAACTTCATTAAGTGTCAGATTTTGAATACTCTTCAGTAGGGATGCACCGATACTAGTATCGGTGCCGAGTATTTGGGCGAGTACTCGCCCAAATGCTTCGATGCCTAGCCCAATACTTCCAGTATCAGGAAGCCGGGCAGCGCGTCATTACACGCTGCCGAGCTTTCTGATTGGCCGAGAAGCAGGCTCCATTCTCCCTCGTCACCTCATGAAAGCCAGAAAGCCTAGTGATGAGAAGTGACGAGAAGCATGGGTCTGTGATGGACTGCAATCTCAATACAAACTAGTAGTCCCATCACTGGAGCCATTTTTAAAAAATTTATTTTATTTTTTATCCGATTAACCGATTAATCGAACTTAATAATCGGCTAACTAATCGATTTTGAAAATAATCGTTAGCTGCAGCTCTAGAGTCATTACAGGCCGCCTGACTTCCTTAATGGGACTTGTGGTATCAGTATTCGGTATCGGCGAGTACCGAAAAGAAAATAATCGATACTCGTACTTGATACCGAAATACTGGTATCGGTGCATCCCTACTCTTCAGGCAGCAATATCTCTTTAATAAAGAAAAGAGATTGACAGTAAATATTTATGGTCTTCTATTTTTTTTTTTGGGGGGGGGGGTCTTTATTTTAGATAGAGAAAGGTATTTGACTGGCTGCACTTTTTCCTTTAATTATTTATTTGTAAAGTGGAACTCCAGGCAAATAACTGAACATGGCACAACATGAAAGCAATTCAAGCCAGGCATTCTTAAATTACTGAAGTAGAGGGAAAAAAAACAGCCTCATAGCCGGGCAACTAACATTTCAAAAAAGATGCTAGCCAATGTAGGTATTTCTAAACAGGAGCCTTTTCCTATAAAAACTCTTGGAGATAAAGCTGTAATGCTTTCAGTCGTATACTGCAGAAAATAGCTGCTAGACACTGCAGTTGCACACACATAAGTTATTTACAATCTAGTGTTGTAATTGCTTTGTGGCCACGTTCCAGAAGACACTGGCAGCAGGACAACTTATGCCAATCAGAAATATTTCTAAAAAGGGCCAGATGTTTTTTTATAGTAACATAACCTGCAGCATTTTCTTTTTAAATGGATAAAAAATAAACAGAATTATTTTTCCATTTTAGAAAAGTCTAAAAGGCACATCTTGCTGCTCAAGAACATTTGTTATAAACAGGACAGTTGGCCTGCATTTCCGCAGAGTACATAAGACAATATGACCATCCGAGCCGAGAGTTATGTATTAATAATTCAGTGACTAAATAATGTACAGATAAAGTGCCCAGTGTCTACTGATAAAACGGAGCCTGGCAACATAATGCTACTTTTGCCATACTTAAAATTACACCGCCAGGTGTAAAAATAACCTGAATAATGTTGTTTTTTTTGGTATATCCAAAGCATTTGCTGAGCAGTTTGGTTCTCAAGAACTACATTCCTCTGTAATAGACTTCTTGCTGAATGATCTCTCCCTTGAGAAACCTCGCTCAGTTGGCCAGCATGGCTCAGATTGGTAAAATGATTTTTTGGATCAGGACAAGTAGATTCTAATGAGGGACAAGTAGATTGGGCCCACGGTTTAGTCCATGGACAAGTTTTTATTTTTTCTTTAAATGTCCACACCTGTGCGCCTACTGTGGATTTTCTGCGCTTTTATAAGGCTACATATGCTAATAAAGGTTGTCCTTAAGGCCTCATTCACACTGCCACCCGTATACGCGCGTACATGCGTATTGTACCATATGCAACCTATGCAAATAAATGGCTCCATACACACATCCGCTTATAGAGCTGTATATTTGTGTGTGAATGAGGCCTTAACATTTGATAAAGTCTGGGCTGTTTGGATCGAAGCCTTTAGTACATTGGAGTCTCTTTAAGATGCTGTGTATTTAACATGCATATACTGTTTTGAGTTGTGCCAATAGGCTACCTTTTGAACTACACCTTCCCCTTGCATTGTTGAGTTTTTGGTTATTTTGTACATGTTTTATGTACCTTATTCTATAAAAATTACGCTGCCAGCACATGGTCACGTATATATACACATTATACCTGCTAAAAGAAGACTCATTTTAACTATAGGTATGGTTGGGCAAAAGCGGTACACGGCTACTGGGATTGACAAAATATTAATACAAACCTGTGTTTCTCTCATTCAGGAAAAATAATGATCACTTTAACAGCGACCTCAACAGCACATATTCATCTGTTTTTTTGACCCTTTGCCACTCCGTTCGGCTACCAGAAGGAATGGAGAGCATGGGACTTTTTCTCCCCAACAAGTTGACAGCATTGGTGCTTGACAACTGCCCACTCAGGCACCCACTTTTGTCACATGGTGGAGAAGAGACAGTCTACTGCCAATTGTAAGCTCAAAATCAAAGCTTGGAGACAACAAAAGGCTATCTCTCAATTCACCCAAACAGTGGTGAAGCTGGTGGGACCGGCAGTAAAGTAGGGTTGAAACAACCAATCAATGTGATCGATGAGAATCGTTGTCAACGATTCTCATTATCGAATTAGTTCATTCGATTAGTTGAATCTGTGGCCACTCTGCTCCCCTGTTCTCCTCTCAGCTGGTGGCAGCTGCAGCGGTCTGTGTCCCTTTCAATCCTCGCTGCTCTCCCCGCCTGTGTCAACACCGGCAGCAGGGACACAGATCACCGCAGCGGGGACACAGATCACCGCAACCGGCCCAAGCTTTAAGGAGAGACAGGCTGTGCCTCTTCATACCCCAGCTCATGCGTGGCTGCCCCGTACCTTCTCTGCATTCCCCGGCTTGTCTGCTGCCACCCCCTGTGCCTCCTCTGTATTCCCCGGCTTGTCTGCTGCCACCCTGTGTGCCTCCTTTGTATTCCTCAGCTCGTCCACTGCCACCCCTGTGCCTCCTTTGCATTCCCCGGCTCGTTCCCGGCTGCCCCCCTGCCCTATGTTGTTTCAGGACAGTAGTAACCATATACTTATGCTGAAAGAGAAGAGCGCTGAAGAACAGTCATTGTGCTGTACTGATAAGCAGATAGAAGAGCCTGCATATGTAATCAGCCAATATGATTTATCTAATTTACATATATATTGATAGCAGATACAAAGAAATAACCTTTATAAAACATTATAGGCCTTTACATTTTTTTAGGACATACATGTACAAAATTGGTTCATAAAATTAATCTTAACTGTGCTAATGCTAAAATGTTCCTGTAAAATGCAACCACTGCTCGGTCTCTGATGAAATCAGATGACAAAAATGTATTGGTTAACACTTCTGTGTTACTGAGAATGATATATCCTTACCTCGTAAGGCAGCTTGTCAAAGTAGCCATTATTTGTCCATTCCCTGAGGCTGGAGCTACTAAATTGATTACTAAGGCAGTCTATTCCACAGCCGTCTTTACCCTCATATTCATCGTCATCCAAATCGTTCATGTCAAGTTTGCCTGTCTTTAAGGAAAGCATAGGTTTCTCTTTCACTCCGTGTAACTCCACAGCATCCAGTTCTGTGTAATAACCCAAAAGTGTACTGTTGGTTTCCAGACGTAGGAGGTTTGTTGGAAAATCTATTTCCTTTATACATGGGGCGAACTGGCGAGCTTGAGGAGAAGTCGGACACGTAGGTTCTCCAGACCAGATAGTTTCCCATCTAGACATGGCACAGACATAATCAGTACTCCAATCAGAGAATTACACTCATTATTGCTCTGCATCCATTTGTTTTCAGAAGTCTAAAATCAAATGTTTAACCCAAGAAGGAAACCAGTAATAAAAAATCACAGAGAGAGTTTCTGATACTAAATAAAAGTATAATACATTCTGAATGTGTCTTGGTAAAAAAACTCTGACAATTTAAAGGTACGGTTTAAAGCTGAACTCCAGTCACAAACACCTGTATTTGAAATATATTCCTCAGTAGCCACAGAGGATATAAATCCACTTTGTATGCATCAAACACTATAGCAAAAACCCAGTAATTACCATATAAATGTAGCGGTAACGTTATCACCGTGCTTAACATAAGCACAGAGTGCACAAGGTGCAGGGCTGTGGGAGGAACTCAGTAGGCTCTCCCACTACAGGAGGGGGCAGATACAAAACCAGTCACCCTGTACAATAAGAGAGAGCAGCAGCAACTGGTCTTTATTACAGGAAGCTCCTGCACACTGGCTTACTGCATAGATCTTGAGAAAAATACACAAAGCACACCAAGATAAAAATAGGAAACACATGACTCTTGTATTTAGACAATATTTGCTTATCCTGGAGTTCAGCTTTAAAAGAGAACTATGGGACAACCTTTTTGGCCGTAGTTCTCTTTAGGGTCACAGGAGAATATTTACTAATGTGCTCCTGTGACCCAAAACTCAGCATATAGCGGGCTATTGCCTACTATTTGATGACAGTGCAGAGCTGCCCTGCAGCCAAATAAGATCCCAATTATATTGTTGTGATCCACCCCAACTACCTGATTGACAGCTGGCCTTGCCTCTCTAGGGGCAGAGCCAGCTGTGCCCGCTTCTTCCATGTCCATTCCTCCAGTCAGTGCTGGAGGATCGGAGAGGGGAATCCCTGCGGGGAGCCGTGACTGACAGTCACCTCTCTCTGCAGGGAGAAGATTGACCAATCGCGGTATGGTATTGCTCAGTTCCCTAAAAATAGAGCCGACGTGTGATGTGACATCATAATCTTTGCAATTAATTCATGTTTAAAGAAAAAAATTATTATATTGAAAAAATTAAAGCGGCCACTTGCGGTCTCTTACTAGCTGATTCAGGCTTCAGTATGTTTTTGGTGCATGTTTGTTCTGGGTCAGCGACTGACAAAGTAATCAAGCTGCAGAATCAGTGTAATTTCCAGGGAGCTAGTCATTTCAGGAGGTGTCATCAGCAATGGCAGTTTCCACACTTCCTTCGTTCAGGCTTCCTTTGAAGAGGCTTACCAAATATCACAGGAAGACATCATGTGATACGCAGCCTCTGACTCATTCATTTGCACAGAGATTCAAAAGTCTGTATCTGAAAGTTTACCTACCACTCTGAGACTGATTGCTAAAGAGCACTGTAAAAAAAAAAAAAAAAAAAAGAAGAAGAAAAAGCAAACTGTAGTTTAGAAAATCACTTGAAAAATGGTGACGCTATATAAGCTGCATAAACATAACTTCAACATTATTGTAAACCTCTGCAATGGTCGAGCATGATGCCAAAACAGACTGAAAAAGACGGACTTTGCACAAGACATTGAGCAGCATGTTTCAGAAGTTTACATTTATGAATGAAGATACACATACAGTATGTAGCTTATGGTACATACTGCTTAGCATTAAAAAGGAGAATTATAGGGCGAGTGAAAAACAAAACAAACACTCATCCCCATAATTCAAGCCGAACTGTAACAAAAAAAAAAAAAGCTGTCAAAGGTCGGCTCTATTGATTGAGAAGTCAGCAAACACATACCGCCGATCACTGACTTCCTGATCATCTCCATGCAGAGATCGGAGACCGCCAGTCACCTCTCCGCGCAGGATTCCCCCCTCTGCGTTCCTCCAGCGCTGACTGGAGGAACAGACGAGGGAGGGGGCAGGCACAGCTGGCTCTGTCTCTAGAGAGTCAGAACCAGCTGTCAGTCAGCCAGCGGGGTGGATCACAACAGTATTGTCTGGATCCATCCCGACTGTATAGCGGACCTGCGCTCTCAGTATATAGCCCGCTATATGCTGAGTTTTGGGTCACCGGAGGACACAGTATATATCCTCCCATGACCCTGAAGGGAACTATGGGCAAAAAAGGTACCCCATAGTTCTCCTCTAACTTGTATTTTATTCATGTATTTCATGTCTGGAGGTTTAGCTTAAAAAAGAACTATGGGGTAAGTGTTTTTCCCCATAGTTCTCTTTAGGGTCACAGGAGGACATATACTAACCTCCTCCCGTGAAGCTCAGTACATAGCACGTTATTGCCCACGATATACTGAGAGTGCCGCAGCCGGGACGGATCCTGACAATACTTTCTGGATCCACCCAGCTGCGTGAGTGACAGCTGGCTCTGCCTATCTAGCTGTGCCCGCCTGTTCCTCGACTCCGTGCTGGAGGATCGGGGAGGGGGGGGAATCCTTGCGGGGAGCGGTGACCGGCAGTCACTGCTCTCTGCAGGGAGATGATCGGGAAGTGAGCGAGCAATGGTATGTGTTCGCTCACTTCCCAATCAATACAGCCGACCTGTGACAGTTTCTTTGTCACAGGTCGGCTCTAACTATGAGGGTGAGTGGAAATCACCTCATAGTTCTCCTTTAAAAGGAGAACTATGGGGTCAGTGCTTTTCCCCATATTTCTCCCCAGGGTCACGGGAGGACACATACTAGCATCCTCCCGTGATCCAAAGCTCAGTATACCGCGAGCTACAGCTATAATGAGACCACCGCATTCGATCTATTGAGCCGACGTGTGACAGTTTCATTGTCACACGTCGGCTCGAACTACGAGGCTGAGTGATTTTCACTCGCCTCATAGTTCTCCTTTAAGGTTAACCTGTGGTCAAGCTATGGACACTGAAGTATTTCCATATTCTTAACAAGTATTAAATTAGCCTTAACACAATCCCTCAGTGACCTCTGTAGCTGAAAGCACTGTAGAGCAATCCATCCTCAAAGATTACAGTAGAAGCACTGAACTTGTTTTTCTCTTAAGCAGTTCAGCTAACTCTTCTTCCTCCAACAATACCCCCCGCCCCCCTTTCACCCAAGCACCTACACAACATGGGTGCACAAACAGCAACTTTGACTTTGCCAGTATTTTAATAAAAATTAGCCTGCAATTTTGCCATGTAGCACTGCTAGGAGAAATTTACTTTTTTCTAAAAAATAGTTTCCTGTTGCTGTGTGTTATTACTTACAACAAAAACCATATCACACCCCATCTGTTTCTCCACTCCGTGCTGGAGGACCAGAGCGGGGAGGGGGGGAATCCTTGCGGGGAGCGTGACTGGCAGTCACTGCTCTCTGCGAGTGGGGAGTGTGACTTGGCTTTGTTTATTAACACAGCCATGCAATTGTCGTGCCAGCACTGACATTGTGATCACATGACTTTTTGTATAAACAAAAGGTTAGAGGTTAAAGGAGAACTATGGGGTCAGGGCTTTTCCCCATAGTTCTCCTTAGGGTAACGGGAGGACACAAACTAGCGTCCTCCCATTACCCTAGGCTCAGTATACCGCGAGCTACAGCTTGCGGTATAGTGAGACGCCGCAGCTGGAGCGGATCCCGACAATTATGTCTGGATCCGCCCAGCTGCGTGAGTGACAGCTGGCTCTGCCTATCTAGAGGCAGAGCCAGCTGTACCCGCCCCCTCCCCCGTCCGATCAGCCAGTCAGCGCTGGCGGATCGGAGTGGGGAGGGGGGGAATCCAGCCCCTCCCCTGTCACGGCAGAGAGCCGTGACAGGATCGAGAGGTGAGCGAACGCCGGTATGTGTTCGCTCACCTCCCGATCTACTGAGCCGACCTGTGACAGTCTCATTGTCACAGGTCGGCTAGAACTATGAGGTGAGTGAAAAGCACTCACCTCATAGTTCTCCTTTAAAGTGACACTAGACTCAGGAGTTAAATCTTAAAAATACATTCAAGTACCTTAACTATTAACAATACTGTAACTTATTTGTGTATCACTCTGCTGTAGATCCTCAAATCATCTCTGAATTGGTGCTGGCACTGTCCTTCCTTCTAGAGGGTGGCTACTTTTGTTCCCCATGGTCTCTGTGTGTGTTGTAAAGTAGTCACCACTCCAAGCTTGCTCCTGTGATGGACTACAATCTCAATACAAATTAGTAAACTAAACGTGACATTGTAGTTCATCCCTGATCGGTAACTACTTTACAACACGCACAGGAACCATGGGAAACAAAATTAGCCACCTTCCTGATAGAAGGACAGTGTCAGCACAAATTCAGAGATGATTTGAGGATCTACAGCCGAGTGATACACAAACACGATACATTTTTGTTAATAATTAGGGTACTTGAATGCATTTTTAAGATGTTACTGCTGAGTTTAGTGTCGCTTTAAAGGTCCATCTGTGTACATTAGTATATAAGATCATGCTTCCAGCTTAGCACCAGGCCCAATAAGAATCATTACAGGGGTGAGCAAATAAGTGCAGAATTCAGGATCCTTCAATACAGTCTAGAAGCCAGGAGACATGGGCTAGAACAGTGCTTCTTAAAGTGTGGGTCGCGACCTCATATGGGGTCCCTCAAGTGAACAGGGGGGGGTCGCGATCCGAGTCCCCGGCCAAGACCGCCATAAGGGGGGTATGGCCGTTACTTGTGTGAGGGGCCCAGGCAGCCGAGGAGGTCTGGGCTCCAAGCTAGATTGTTTTATTTCAGTTTAATGTATAATTTGCAGTGTAGTGTAGTTTTTAAGGTCATGGCCCCCCCTGTGCACTTGGTACCTTCCGGAGAAGAGGAGAGAGACACTGACTGGTGCTGGGAGGGGAGGGGAGAGAGACACTGACCGACCCTGGGGGGGGTGGGGGGAGAAGAGGAGAGACACACTGACTGATGCGGGGGGGGAGACACCGACTTACACTAGGGGAGGGGGGAGACACCGACCGACGTTGGGGTCTCTTAAAAATTTCCTCTGCCAAAAAGGGGTCACGAGTGGAGAATGTTTAAGGCGGCCTGGGCTAGAACACTGACTAAGTGAAAATGACCACTGTTCATTTTTAGGCACTTTGGAGACATGACTCCTGGAATTTGGAAAAAACCCTGCTCTAAATAGCTAGTGAATACAAAAGAACAATTTGTTGAAAGCCTTATAATGACAGTATAACAAGACCCACATACGTTAAACATATGCCCAAATAGAAAAAAATGTGAACATATAATAGGCAAAATGCTGCAACACTGATTTGATCCATCTCAAAGCACCCCCCCCAAAGGCCACGCTGGTTGGCATCAGCATAAAAGGATATCATTATACGTATCAGTTGCTAATGTAGTTTGGCTGAAAGTAGTGGTGCAAGTTGGTTAAAATTCATAGGTGGCAGGAAACATAACCACACATATCAATTATTTGTTAATAGGTCAATCTCAATTAGTACCAATAACTGCACTGAACTGTACAGTGACATACAGTGTATGTAACATTTGGGATGGAGCAAACTGTTACGTGGAAAGAAAAATGTTGACTGCATCTATTGCAGGGAGGTGTACAGTCTTATTGCCAATCATAATGACATTGTAAGGGTCGGTGGTGTTCTTTAATCCATATGAAGCCACAGAACTTGTAGAGAACTATTGCAATTATTTTCAATACTGCTATTATCAGGGTTGGGCAGCTAGGTAGTCAATTCTTCTCATATTACAACTGTAGTCACTCAAGCCTCTTATGAAGGGGGTACACCCCAGAAACGTGTTAGCCTGGCCATCATTACCAGTAGGTCCGGTCTGTGGATTGGATTATCACTCATGTATGGATTTTCCTACAGGCAAGAATTGAATTGCTGGATCTCCTTGTATTACATGCATCTAAGCATTTTATGATTTTGAGTATTTTTATTCTGTTTTCAAAATAAATCAGTTGTACGTACTTCACGAGGTGAGGACGCCGTCCCTTGTGTTTGTTTTACAATTCGAGACACATTTCAATGCTTCTCTACTTCTAAAAGGGGCAACACATATTTGCTGGCTTGTTCAAAGTGTCTGCCTAATGCTGAATTCAATGTTAAAATATACAGTGGTACTTCGGTTCACGAACGCTTCTGTTCGCGAACAGAAAGTTCGGCAAAATTTTGCTTCTGTTCGCAAACTCCACATCGGGTGACGAACACAACCGCAGCCATCTTCCCTGCTCTGACACATGGTCGTGGCTTCCTCTAGTCGAGATCACGGTCTGATTTGGATCACGACCAATTCGGTTCGCGACCAGAATCGTGGAACTAATTAAATTCATGAACCGAGGGACCACTGTACAACGGGGTTCATTTATACAAGTTCCACCCTGCCTATAGTAGAGCGGATGCCATTCGTATAACACTAGTAATGGCGCTGATGAGTATAGGAGATTTGCATACTCGCCAGTGTCACCTAGGGGCCACTGCCACTAGCATCACCTAACGGCCGCTGTCCAAGTATACGCAGGGGAGAACTTTTATAAATTAACCCCAAAGTGTACATGAGATACAAAGTCAAGATTTCTATACAGGTTATAGTGAAGGAGTAAAACACATATAATAATATACATTTTAAGATACTGCAGGTCTTGATTACCTGATTTCTGTAGGCGTAGTCTGAGAATAAGGGTTTGCAGAACAAGCAAGTATTTTTACCACTGACCCCGGATGATACGTTTCTAAAATGTGAACTGCTGTAGGATAGACAGGCTCCTCAAATGCAAGCTCTACATAATCCTGACTGACGAAGCTTGGTGATGTCCTCTTGAAAGGAGTTGTGGAGTTAGCACACTGATTCCACCATTTTCCATACATACGAAACACAGCAGTCTGGGTAAAATCTCCTGAACTTGGATAAACATTAGGAGCGCCTGCTAAATTCCACATGGTATACGACATGCTGTTTTCACTTCCATAGTGAGAGCTGAAATCCAGGACTTCTTTGGCATACTGCACAGCTTCAACACACATTGGCAAAGCACGGCTGTTTGTTTCAATGGCTCTACGGCTGTTAATCATATCTCCCCTACTAGCTAGCCGGGCCCGGCGTCTGAGGCAAATGTAGTAAAACATGCTCAGAACTGTTAGCATGGGAAACCAAGAAGACATGTAGCTGAAAGAGACTTGAAAAACAAATGGCGTGGTCTAACTTGGGTGCGGTAGTAACTGAGAAGTGACCTGGTAAACACATCCCTAAAATCAAAACAGAAAACAATTAAGAAATGCACTGAACACAGACAAAACAAATAAATGTATAAAGATTGGTCTACTTAAAGTGGACCTTTACCCCCTTTGACTAAAAATCCCATCAGCATTCAGCTCTGCGTGCTGATATGAAATCATCTTACATTCATGAGCTAAACAAACATATTTTAATTTCACTTACAATTTATGTTTTTCCACTTCCTGGTCCACTTTGGCACAAATGAAGTCATTGTGCCCAAGCATTGCATCCTATGAAGGTTACATCAGCAGAGCATTGCTGGGAAATCTCATGAGATCTCAGGGAAAGGCATTTTTCTTCCCTGAGATGATGTGCATGATCACATGTCCTAGTCACATGTGCCAGAGTCCCAGGAAGTAAAAGGAGATCTAGTAATCTGCCCTAAGTTAAAATGGCCACTGCCGAAGACTGGGGAAGAAAAGGAAAAATATAGGTATACAAAGAATACAAAGCCTGTAAAGAAGTATGTGTTTGTAGATTGTCATTATTAAACACTTCTAAAAATGCCCTTGTTGTAATTTTAAAGATATGCGTAAAGGTTCCTCTTTAAGCGCCATTAGATGATTGTCAGATGTTCAAGCAAGATCTAAACATTTCAAGAGGCCTTTTTGGCAGATGTAGGTATAAGCATGAATTATCCAAGTTTACGCCTATGGAGGAGAGTGAAATAAGGAGGGGCATATCCGCAGGGGAACAAAAGCAATGACATACAAACAATATTATGGGACACAGGGATAGTATGAATAATATGTCATATCTCTGGGGTGCACAGGACAAAATATGCAAGAACACCACAGCAAAGGTGTTTATATTTAGTTAAGAAATGTTCCATCAAAACACACACAAAAAAAAAGGCTAATAAGAACAAAGTAGGTCATTTAAACATAATTACGCAATATTAAATATTTTTTATATGGAAATAATAGCTTTGCATGCTTGATTTTTTAAAGACTGGATATAAAAATAACATCATAGTAAGTATATCTTCAGAACTGTGATGCAGTCTTCCAGGAGAGACCTATGGTTAATTTTTTTGAAAAGAGGTATGACGTGTCAGAGTACTTGACCAGGGCCGTCAGCAGGCCAGGTGTCACCCTGTGCGGCCGCCTCCGTAATGACGTCACATGCACTTTATTATGCACGAGTGTGATGACGTCACGTGTACTTCACTGCCGGCATCCATCTTGGTGATGGACACCGACAAAGAGAGGAGGGGACATTCATCTAGTGGGATAAGGTATGCCACCAGGTCTCCTCATCTCTCGTGCAGTGCCAGTCATTTTGGTGTAACACGGTGCAGGTCGCACCCCCTTGTGACGCCACTGTACAGAACAAACACATGCACAATAGCCGGGAATGTTCGAGCCATAACAATACATGCAAACACAGAAAAAGAAAGAAAAACTATTTCAAACAGTTACCAGAACAGGCAGCTTTCAGGCATTGGTACAGCATAGTGAAGGTGTAGCTAGACACCACAGGAGTGCCCTAAGCGTGACCAATTGGTTTCAAGACAATGGATAGGATATTAGGGGCAGAGTGTTTGAGGAATGGAGAGTAATATTAGGGAAGGGAGGTTGATTGTGTTATAAAGTCTCAGGGAATATGTGGGAGGTGGACATAAGAAGGGTTACTGAAATGGGTGATAAAATAGTGGCGGGTTAAGGGCACAAGTTCATGGAAAATAGGAATCGTTAACATTTTATTAATGTGCAAGTGGGTAGAGAGCACGTGGAGTAGCTAAAGTGACATGACATGACATTCCGGAGTTAAGTCTTAAAAATGCATTCAAGTACCCTAACTATTAGGCCTCGCTCGCAACACCCTCAGTGCGTTCTGGCTCGATTGTGGCCGGCTCCGTTTGTTGTGGAGCGGCACGGGGCGATCGGCCGCACGGGAACGCAAGGCACATCAATGCCTGCGGTCCGGTCAGAAAAAATGTTGCAAGAACTATTTTTTCTGACCTGACCGGACTCACTCCCATGATCAGAATACCAGTGAAACGTCTTGAAAAAATACAGCAAGTCCAGTTGCCTTGATTTATTTTTACAGATATAGCATGACCTGGATGAATTAGAACCTTCACAGACATTTTATTCATGGTGCCGTTGCCACCGTTCCAACATAGGTGAGAATGACATAAAGCTTCCTCCAGCAGCCTCCTAGGAACCCACTGTCATATATACCAGGAGGCTGCAGGAGGCTTCCCACAGCGCCAGATCATCATTCATCTGGCATGGCATCATCAGGGGCTGCAATAACCTGGAAAGAAATAGCCGGCTGCTGATGACAAAGTAAGCTTTGGGATGTGATGTGCAACAAAAGGTGATGCGGGGGAGAAATGGACAACACAGGATTCACTGGGCTTGTGAGTTCCTGGATAAAGCTCATTAAAGTGGCACATTGTGGGCTAATTTATTGGGAATGAGTGAAGTTCCTTTTTAAAGTGATATTAAACTCAAAAGGATTTTAAGCTATTTTAAATGTTGATGACATCACTTACAATGGATGCTGCTTCTTGATGTTTGTTTGATCTGGATTCATTATTGAAATAAAGATTGAGCGTTCAATACTACTTTAAGGCAAAGAGCAATATCCCATGGCAGCAGATCAGAATACATATTTTATAATTCTGTGAAAAGAGAACATCTAAGTGGTTACTTTGGATTATTGCCCTTGGCACTGTGTTATTTTAAAAAAGGTCACAAATGTGCTGCGGAGTTGAGCTGTACTATAGGGTGAACAATAAGGGCGTTCTATAAAACAAAAAAAGATAACAGACACAGCAGGAACTTTTCACAAAACATGTTAGCTGGGTGTCAGCCTGCCATGAACCACGGACGTCAGTATTCAGGCAGCCAAACTCCTTTCAGAAATATATCTCCTGTAAGAGAATTGCATTATATTCATAATATAAGAAGAAAATAATTGAATTCATAATTTAAAAATGTTGCTCCTGATCAGGCCTAAAACCTGCACAGCACCTCACAAAAGTGTTATACCTCACTAGCCAAACAAAAAGAAATATGTACATGGGCGTCTAAGCACCCGACAGCACACGGTCATGTCCAAAAGCTGTAATACCAACCAAACACTTGGCAATTTCAATCAGTTCTTGATTGCAAAAAACTATTGAAGGAGTGAGGGAAAACAACAGTTTTATTGGCTAAGATCTCCATGTGTTATACAGGCCCATTCATTGCTTGTGTTTTTGCATTTGCTGAAGTGCCCTTTTAATGCTTTTTACATTGATCCCTGTGGAAGATGCACTTGCTAGAATAACAAACTATAGTAAGAAGGATTATTTTAATCAGTTACGTTCCAGAGCTATTTTCACATTTCAGCTATGGCCTTATTACTTCTGACATAACTGTAATAACCTTATTATACATGACAAAGGAGTGACACTTATGGGTTTTTTTTGGGGGGCAGGCTATTTGGTGGTATTAGCTTCGAAGATATATTTAATTATTTTTATATTTTAAAGCAGAGCTCTAGGCACAGATTTTCTTAAACCTTACAGTGGGGCTACCTCTGCACTGCAAGGGTTAACTGCTCATTTTTTTCTAGATATATATATATATATATAAAAAAAAGTTATACTCACCTGATCCTCAGAGCCAGCCGGCTGTGACCGCGCTCCCTCCTGCCTCTCTCCTCCTCTACTGTAGCAATGGTAGGTCCCTCAGCTTCTTTATGTTCAATACACTGTATATAGAACGTGATGATTCAGGGGCCATAGACCGCTGCAGCAGGGGAATGAGGAAGGGACCGGCCTAAGAGCAAGCCGGCTCCTAGGATGGGGTATAACGTTTTATTTTGAAACTAGACAAAAATGAGCACTTAAAACTTGCAGTGCATGGGTAGCCCCACTGAAAGAGTTAACAAAATCTGTACCCGTAGTTCTGCTTTAACCGATAGCGGTTTTTCGGTTATTGCCTGTGAAGCCAGTATTCAAGCAAAAGAACACCGGCTTTACTTGCCAACTCTGCCTGGCTTCCTGACCAATCAGGAAGTCGGGCAGGGAGTCATGAGATGCCTCCGGCTTCCTGATTGGTCAGGAAGCCAGGCTGCCTAGCAACAAGTAAAGCTGGCTTCCTAATCAATCAGGAAGCCTGGCGGCACATCATGACCTGCCTCCCGACTTCCTGAATGGCAAGGAAGACGGCGTCACTTGTTGCTAGGTAGCGTGGCTTCCTGACCAATCAGGAAGCCGGGACACGAGTCATGATGTGCCGCCGGCTACCTGGTTAGGTACCCAGGTTGCTTACCAACAAGTGAAGCTGGCTTCCTTTGCTCCTAGGCAGCCTGGCTTCCTGACCATTTAGGAAGCCGGGAGGCGGGTCATTACGTGCCATCCAGCTTCCTGATTGGTTAGAAAGCCAGGCTGCCTAGCAACAAAGTGAAGCCGGCTTCCTAGCCGATCACAACCGACCACCCGGCTTTCTGATTAGAAAGGAAGCTGGCTCCATGCCCCTCGGCACTTGCGGTCAGAGGGAGATCTCCCTCTAACCGGAAGTTCCGGTATCAGTGGTAAGTATCGGAGCATGTACTTACGAGTACTCGCCCAAATACTCGGTATGTGCACCAATACTAGTATTGCTATCGGTGCATCCCTAAAAAAAAAATTACTTTTCTAATTTGACTAGTGATCATTTTAAAACAAGTATTACTTGAGGTATAAATTAAAGAAAATAGTAAAAATTGTTTTTTGGTAAAAGAGCTGAAAAGTTATTTACAAATGAAATTGAATTTTTGCATTCTTGCCCAAAAAAAAAAAAGAATGTGGACACAAAAAAACATTTTCGCAAAAACGGTATAAACATTTCTTAAAAAGAAACAAGTTAAAGAGAGTAGGGAGAAGAAGAAGTTACTTGGTGCTAGTTAGGGATAACAAGAAATTATAAAAAGGGAAAGATTTATTTTAATACAATAACTATTTTAGTTTCTATTTTAAAGCTGAACTCCA